GGGCGGTCTGTTGAAGATAGGAAAGCAGCAGAATTGGTTAGTGAAACCTGTACGTTTGAGAACGGTCGGTTTGTCGTGGGATTACCTTGGAGAACCGAGGATAAACAGACGGTCTGTAGCAGAGAGATGGCAATGAGGAGACTTCTGAGTTTAAGAAGGAAGTTCCTAGCAAATGCAGATCTGTGGTCCAAGTATAAAGAGGTCATTGACAAGCACATAGTTAAAGGTTACGTGGAAAGATTGGTTAATCAGAATGAACCAGGGAAATGGTACCTGCCTCATCACCCCAAGAAACCTAGCAAACTTCGCGTGGTCTTTGATTGTTCCGCGAATCACGAAGGTGTTTCCTTGAATGAAAGTTTGTATAGTGGCCCGGACTGCGTGGGGTCGCTAGTAGGATTGCTGCTGAGATTCAGAATGTCTCCGGTCGCCATTGCAGCTGACATAGAAGAGATGTTTTTACAAGTAAAGGTGCCAGAACGTGATAGAGACCATTTGAGGTTCCTGTGGTTCGACGGTGATCCTCACAGTAGAATATCCGAATACAGGATGACTGTTCATCCGTTTGGCGCTACCTGGTCTCCGTTTTGTGCTAACTTCGCTCTTCGTAAAGCAGTGTCCATGTTTGGTCCTCCTGAACTTCTAGATGTCGTTGATTGTTGTTTCTATGTGGACGACTGTTTAGCATCCTTTGATGATATTGCATCTGCGATCAACTTTGCAGAGACCCTTAGTAATGTACTAGCCAAGGCTGGGTTTCGTTTGACAAAGTGGGTCTCAAACAGTTTGGAAGTCTTAAAGCAAATAAGTCCAGAAGAGAGAGCACCGGCGGTGAGAGATCTGTCCGTTGACACACTACCCATAGAACGCACCTTAGGTTTGCAATGGAATATCAACTCACATACCTTTGAATTTAGTGTGGGAAACATTGATAAACCGGTCACCAGAAGAGGATTATTGTCCGTATTGTCCTCGGTTTTCGATCCACTTGGTCGTGAACATTGAACGTTTGTTTTATTGGATCTGGCAGCCATTGGTGGGCAAATGGAAGGCGCGAATGGTCGATCGCTTGCAAGTTGAATGAAGACTGGAGTTAAATACGAATAAAAGTACTTTATAACTTCATTTGTACTTAACATTTGTTTGTAGACTTTGTAGTTTTCTTCACTTTAATTGCCAAACAATATAATTTCGTTCAAGGAATACTGGTGTTTTGGATTTAAAGTTGAAGGACATACATAGTATTTATCGGTTCAATCGCCTAAGTCTTCATTACAATAGGAACTTAGGGCTAAGTTCCTTGACAACCATTTTACAGTTATATTCTAATCCTGTGTAATTTTTTGTTTCTATGCCTCTTGTAATCTATATTCACACCTCCTAACTTACATTTCAAGTTGAAAATTTTGATCTCAATTTGTTTCCATGCCCATTTTGTTCACACCTGCGATTCGTTCCAAGCCTCTTGTAATTCATATCAAGTTGAAAACAATTATCACCTTTTATTCGCCTTTAAAACTGTTTCTCCAGTTGTCAAATATTAATTTTGCATACGTTGTAACTGTTATCTAATCCTATGCAATCTTGTCTCTCAATCCCTTGTAATCTATATTCGTACCTTCAATCTTTCATATCAAGTTGAAAATTATTATCACCTTCGTTACTATGTGGAATTAAACAAATAAGAATTGTATCCATGTAAACTTATCGATATAAATGCGATTGTACAGCTCTTGAGAATGAAATCAGCGAAAAGATATCTTTGCTGAACTTTTTGTTCTTCTCAATCTAATGTTCCAATGGGTATTTTCCACGATTTCTTAATTTCCTCGTAATTATCTCACTTGGTATATCGCCCTTGAATTTTAGTTGTATATAATGTGGCTTCTTGTTTACAGACGGTGAGTAGTCCTTTTCAGCTTTCTTTATCATGTGTTTCTTGATGTGTTTGTCAAGATAACCATTTGCGATCAAAGTATCATATACCATGCTTAATTCATCTTCAATTACTTCTTCTGAGCATATAGCTCTAACTCTGTGGCTGAGGGTCTTCACTAGATTTCTTTTGTACGTGATAGGAACGATGCTGTGAAAATGTGTAAATTGTCCTGTCCAAGTACTTTTCCTATGCAAATTTCTTTTTATGCTACCTTCTGGTTTTCTTGTAAGTAGGACATCCAGGAGGGCAGTTAATTCTGTCTTGGGATTCCTCTTCGCATGTGAATTTCATAGCCGAATGTACTTCATTGAATTCAGTAATTATTGTACTCCTATCAGAACCATTATCACAAAGAATGAAGGTATCATCCATATATCGGCAATAAAATGAGAGCTTACTGATAAGGTTGTTTCTAACTATGCTTACTGGAAATGACCGACAGAATATTCGAATATACGGACATTAGAAAAAATGAAAAGAAACTGACTTAAGTGCTAGTGGACTTTGCTCTAATGACAGATGAACAGTTTCCTTCCCTGGTAGTTACCTCATAGTTGTAAAAACCAAATCTAAAGGAGTTTATAAAGTATAATAGTGTGGTGAGACTTAACATAATGATAGTTATACAGCATATGCGATCAACAGGTTTGAACCAATAAACCGAGAACCGGACAAATATATTGGCTATCTACAAATAGTCTGTACACTTAAATTTCAGTGTCATGTAAACGCCACGAAGTATATTCCCTTAAAGACTCAGACTGAAGTACTTAAGTGTTGGAAAAGAATTACATGGGGGATTTCATCATGAGTTGACACATCAGTTAGAGAACCACCGGAAAACCTGCAGGGAGTACTGGACAGCCGTTTCGTCCTAGTTTGGGACTCTTCACCTATCCAGTACTCCCACGTTTTCCAGTAGTTCTCTAACTGATGTCAGCTCATAATGAAATCCTCCATGCGATCAAACAAAAATCCCTACAAAACCAATACTTGGAAAAGAATTAAGTAAATCTTTTGAGAGTTTGATGCAGACCCCCCCCCTATATCTATTACACTGACTGATGAATATCAAATTTGAATGCAGCCACCATCGTTATTATTATATAATCTGGTGTACTCCACTTAAACCTGGACTCTAAACACCTGATTGATGAAATCACACCAGCATATATGACTGCTAATACGTCTGAAACTGCCCGTTTGACCTCTGATTATACTGTGTGCGACATAAAGTGCTGCATTTCTGTACAAAGTTATACTTTGACACTCAGTCAACTCATAGTTCGTAGAAATAACTCCGGTCTGAAACAAATGGAAAACATGATCTGTTCTCAGTGTACTCAAAATTTCAGACCACAGGCTACTTTGTCCACATGCCATGCCAAACTGCATACTACGTCTTTATTTCTCACTAGACAAGCAGAAATAGTTTAAAGTTTTCAGCAACATTCCACACATGGAGTGCTGGTCCTGACTCCAACTGTGAAAATCCGATAATCATAACCTCGTTTAATTTAATGATGTTAATCCGGCTTCTTACCTTTTAACTGACCTTTGATAGAATGATAAAAAAAAATATGCTAATTTGGCTTGATATACACAAGCATATCAGGCTGTTATGCTATGAATGCATGCTTGCCAAAATCGTACAGCCAACAAAAGACCAACGCACATAAACTTGAAAAGTGAATATATGCATATACAACCCCACCGCTTTTGGTGAACACCACCAAATTGAAGGACATAGTCAAACTGAGTTTTCTCAGAGCTATACATACACTATATGCCTCAGTGGTTTAGTGGTAGAATGCTCGCCAGCCAACCCCTCGATTCCCCGCCGACCAACTACTCATAAAACCTTGCTTAGCCGGCAGCAAGAGCGGGGGGGGGCACAGGCCAGAAGAAAGCAACCCCACCCCACTCCACCCCTTAAAAAGAAACACAACTGATAGTGAAACTGGCCAAGTTAAACTTTAGACACCAATAACTACCAATCAGCGAACGACATCGAATTATCCAATGAGATTCACGAACGTAGTTCAATGTTGTATAGCGCTTGATTCATTTCAATGCGTGCGCTTACAAGGTTACGTTTGCAGTTCGAGGAGGATAGTGTCTTTTAGTATTGCCTAGACTTAGGCTTGCTTCGAAAGGAGACAAGTTGTTCGTGTTATGGTGTAATAAACTCTAAAAAGCTATATTAGGTCAACTGATGGTTATGTACATCGTTGTGGAATATGCTGGAAGCGAGTTATTATTAGAGAGGGTAATATTTCGTAGGAGATTTTTTTGCTAGGTCGCATCTCTCCCTAACCCAGATTTTGTACATTTGCAATTACTGGGTACTGAAACAGCCCGTGAGAGCCGCTGCTGCTGAGACGGAGAACAGCCTCGTCTCAACATTTCAGTGGTATACCAGCACTCCATAGGTTTATACGACACGTCCCACCGAAAAGGATTTGTTGAAGGAATAGCAGACAGGAAGGCGACTACTCTGGTACCTATTATAAAGCGACTTGTGAAACCGGGATCAATTGTACATACCAACGAGTGGAAAGGCTATGATTCATTGTCATCCCTGGGATACATTCATCACAGAGTGAACCACTCCAGTGATCTCAAAAGGATCTCATTTATAGTCATTTAGATGAATAAATGAATAGAATGTGGTGCGACTTCTCTATTGACAGTCTCATGCTGAATTGGGAAATGTTTCTCTCCAATGTTCGGGAAAAATACCCATTGTAACCGTTTTATCATTTTTATGCATTTTTCTATAAATATACGTTTCCAATTATCATAAACGCCTCTTTCATGTGATTGGTCCGTTCAAGGTCGTTTGCTGATTGGTTGTTACCGGTGTCCAAAGTTTAACTTTGCCGTGAAACTTCAAGACCTCAAAGCTTGAGACTCTATGTTCCACTGGGCATGCAAAGGAATAAAATGACGAAAATAGTAATAGAAACGCGTATGCGGTTTTGAGGAGTATCAACAGACAACAGTGCATCCATTTTAAACCGTTAATAAAATAAATATAAATACAGAAAGTGATACTTACTGTTTGTGTATCAACAATTATAGCATGTCTTAAATTAGCAATAGTCACATCATATGTCATAGGATCCACAAGAAAAAGAGAATTGAAATCAAAATCACCTAGGTATATTGTATAACCATGTGATGAATAATGTTCATCATAATTATAATGATATGTTTGATTCATAATTGACTTATGCTCCAATTGTTCTGGAAGACTTAGAATATTTAACAGAATCTGTAATCTAATCCATACAGATGCCTAAAAGAGAAAAGATTATAGTGAAAATGAATAAACAAAAATGAAAATTTTAAAATAAAAACAAAAAATTGGTATATAGATTGGTGGTGTTAAGATCAATGCAACTAAAGTCATCATGTAACAGCAGAAAGCAGGACACGGAAACAAAGGTATTCTTGATATAGGAATAAAACTTGTGCACTGTGGTAGAGTGTAATTCCATTATGGGTGAATTTTGTTTTGATAAAGTCTCACAGTGTTATACAGTAATGTTTACTGATGACGTTTCGAGCACAATTTATTGCTACTCACAATCATATCAAGGTAATCACACGACTTCCTAAATTCATTTATATAGTTCCATTGTTTTTCACTTGATTTGATTGGTAGTAATATTTTCCATATTTCGGGTATGAGTGATGAATCATTTCTGTTGCATGTGTTGGATGTAGATTCTATGAACAAGGATTCAGTAATCAACCTCTCTCTCCACCTACCTAGATTACTTTTTAGAATTTTAACCCTCTCCCACCCTATTGTGTGGTTGTATGCTAATGCATGCATCGCAATTGCTGAGCTTTTTTCGAAATTACCTATCTTCTCTGGGTCAACCATTCTTACCTGAGCTAAATTCTTATGTTCTGACAATCTGACTACCCCTGACCTACTAGTTTGACCTATGTAGTTGACTTAACTCATAGTCATTGCAGGGTATTTTGTAAATTATATTATTTTGTCTATTAGAATGCGTTGGTTTTCTATAAACACTACTGTGTAGTTTGCCTTCTTCTATTCGTTTTATTTTACGATCTAACATAGCTAATTCTCCTTGCTCATTTTCCGCTTCAAATGTGAATTTTATTCCCTCCACTAGTGAGTTTATGTGTGTCAAGAAGCTAGAGATATGTTCTGTTTTTAACACTGTGAAAGTGTCCTCCACATATCTCCACCATATTTTTGAAGTAGGATTAAACGTATTAAGAGCCATATTTTCCCAGCTATCCATAAATATATCTGCTACGATAGGGGATATTGGTGATCCCATTGCTACACCTTCAGTTTGTCTATATATTTTGCCTTGAAATTTAAAGATAGTAGATGTGAGGCGCAACTGAATTCCTAACATAATTTCATCAATGGGTAGTTTCGTCCTATAAGTGAGTTCAGGGTCTACAGTTAATTCTTTTTTTTTAACTGCTTCTAAGGCCATATTGATTGGTATGTTAGTATAAAGACTGGTTATATCAAAACTAACCATTGTTTCATCATTCTCTAGTTGAATGTCATTTAGTTTATTTTTCATCTCAAATGAATTAGCTAGTCTAGAGTTTGAGCGATTTCTAATGGGGCATAATATTAGAGCTAAGTGTTTTGATAATTCATAAGTAGGAGTATTCCTAAAATCTACTATTGGTCGTATGGGGTACCCTGGTTTATGTATTTTAATAGTGCCATACATTCTACTAGCATTATTAGTTTTAGGCATTAAATTAGGGTGGGAGAGGGTTAACATTCTAAAAAGTAATCTAGGTAGGTGGAGAGAGAGGTTGATTACTGAATCCTTGTTCATAGAATCTACATCCAACACATGCAACAGAAATGATTCATCACTCATACCCGAAATATGGAAAATATTACTACCAATCAAATCAAGTGAAAAACAATGGAACTATATAAATGAATTTAGGAAGTCGTGTGATTACCTTGATATGATTGTGAGTAGCAATAAATTGTGCTCGAAACGTCATCAGTAAACATTACTGTATAACACTGTGAGACTTTATCAAAACAAAATTCACCCATAATGGAAGCAAAGGTATTCTGTTGCTAATGCCGAATTGAAATGTGGGAATATGTGAGAATAATATTTCACACTTGTCCCACCATCAAACACTATACACTGAAGTTGGTCCGATCTTTCTGGTGCTGGCGTCTCCGTTTGCTTGTCTTGCTGTATCCATTTCCGGAGCTCGCTAACGTTCACGCGCTTCTCTTTGTTTGCACTTCTGATTCCAAATACCTGACCCAGTCTCGCGGTGACCGTGTATAGTCCGTCCCAATTCTGAAGCAGTTTGCGTGACCCTGGCACGTCGCCGGTGTTTCGCCTCACACTATCATATGCTGTCTTCGCCCGACCTCTTAGTAGCGTTCCAAGTAAAAGCCTCCTCGGTGAAGGACCTTGAACGCCATTCACAACTCCGCAACAGTCTCGAAATCCTGCAAGAAGATCCATATGTCTCCTTCTTCAAAAACTGTAGGCAGAAGGCAAGACACGGAAGCAAAGGTATTCTGTTGCTAATGCCAAATTGAACTGTGGGAATATGTGAGAATAATATATCGCTGGAACACATTGTCTGTATCACACCACCACAATCATTGTGTTCAGAGCAAAACAAAATCAAATAAATTGATGATATAACCTAGTCTACAAACTTTATAATAACAATAACAACGAAAGACGGATATGAAGTACAGTAAGGAATATTACCAAACAGAAATGACTTATTGGTACACCATGATACTCTTCAACAGACCAACGTCCACAAGAACCCAAGTAATGTGGAAAAGGCCAATTTTCTTTGCGTGGAAAAGATTGGATTATAACACTTTGGGGATCAATTGCCAAGTTGAAGAGAAACATCAATTCATCAAAACGTAACCAACGCGTTTCAGCACCATAGCTTGTTCGTTCTAAAAACCTAAAACATGTAAGAGAGAAAAAAAACAATTATTCATGAGATATAATACTCTGTTTATCCGAATAAACTTTAATCTTAAAAATGAAAAAAATCATAAGGCTAACACGTGTTGATAGGGATTTCACAATTCTCTACTTCAATAGTAAGAAACTGTACACTCATATATATATATATATATATATATATATATATATATATATATAGAGAGAGAGAGAGAGAGAGCGGTGTGATTAATGAAAAATATACCTTGGCTTCCGTGTCTTGACTTCTGCTGTTACAGTATGATTGCTTTGGTATGATAGTGCCCATCAGTAAATAATACTATATCAGTGCTTATATAGAATAAAAATATTTTATCATAGAATTATGCCCTACTATAGTGCTCAAGCTTTATTCTTATCTCACAAATGCTCATTAACGATAAGACTAAACATGGAAGGGATTCGATGGTATTAGATAGTTGGAGGCAATCGGCAGGAAGCCTTGGACCTAGGTTTCGTGCTAGTTGGCACTCGTCAGCAAGGTGTATCTGCAGCCTTGAAGGAACTCATGTCCCTTCTGAGATTCGAGCCCGCGTCACCCATTATGGAAGGGATTAGTTGCGTAGAATTATGCTTGGTTTTCAAATACTCCTCTGGTTGGTAGAGGTTAGTGACACCGGTTATTTTGAAATCAATCAAACCCAAGAACTTAATATTCAAAAAAAGAAACAAATTATTTGACAAATAGGAAGATATGCATATTACCTATGTTGAAGATGTTCAAATAAACGATCACTGGAACATCTTGTAGCCGGAGCAAAGTCAGTTGTCACTTCAGCTTCACTTTCACTATGACTGTGATTGTAGGAATAAATTGATCCCATTAAAATCTCTCTACTCAATGGAAGTTCTACTGAATTACCGTGTGGATCATTAGCATCAGCATTTGTTGGCAGCCAACGCCAAATTGACAGATGTGGTATGCATGAAAGATTAGTAAGAATATCGTGTGAGATTGAACCAAAACTCTGGCGTAAACCTCGACGACAAACAGCCTTATCCACTGCATATGGTGTTGCTGGACTTGCCAAGCGACGCAGTAGAACATTTTTTCTAGTTTCATAGAAGCCTGAGAGAGAACATTTAGTTAAGGAAAAGAGTCAGGCATATTGTAAAAGTCGGACATTAAATTATTAAAAAGTCGTGGTAGAAAAAAATTAAAATATGAAAAAACGGAGTGAATACTAATCATAGTATGCAAACATATGCATATATGTCAGTTGTTTTAGAAATACAGTATTATTATTATTATTTCCTTGGGTTCCAATTGGGACTTGGACCTTTACCAGCACATCTTCGTCCCATTTTGTTTTCTACAATCCTCTTTAGCTTGCTCTACGATTGCCCATAAGCTGTCACCTCGTCCTCCTCCTCCTTCTCACATGATCTCTCCTCTGTGTCCCCCTAAGACATTCAACTCACCGTTTCCCATCCAGATCCCACTCGACAGCCTAGCGTATGATGTTAATCAATGGTATCCTCAGCAATGTTCAATTTACCTACATGTAGTTCTGCATATTTGTTGTGTAGTCGCTTCTTGGTTAGTTCTCTGATAGACTTCCTTGTTGCATTTTTTTTTCTCCGGTCTGTTACGTAATCTTCACCATGGAGGGAATACGGTAATTGTTGATGAAGGTCTGCAGTAGACTGTTAGAAATACTTTTTTTTTCAGATGTCAAGTAGCTGAACCATATAGAAGCGTGACAGCAAAAGATAAGATACGAAAGCCAAGGTATATTTTCTATTGATCAAACCGCTGTTTACACATATACAGTTTATATTCGTTAACCAATCACTGAGCGTGTGATTTCGGTTTACATCAAACAACATGAAATAGAATGTTCAAATATACATAGTATTCTGTTGTCAATGCAGTATATGACCATTTCTTCCCGTTCTGTTCGTAATCTCTTCATATTCCAATCTTCGTGAAGGGGCTAGGTCTTGTTGTGTATAGGTAGTCGTGGTTTTCTACCATACATCAACTGAAACCGTGACTTCTTTGTTGTTTCCCGGGCGGTGGCACTATATGCCAATAGAATCAATGGAAGCTGTGTCTCCCAGTTACCTCTCTTCGAGACCAGCCACTCCTTTAGTGTACGGTTGTTCCTCGTAATCAGACCATTCATTTAGTCATTCTCTTGATACTCAGCTGTTGCAAACGGGAAGTGAATACTTCACCTTCAAAACAAGGACCTGGATCTGTCAGTATCGTCTTTGGTCTGTGTGTTTCAATATGTCAAACTGCTGGTTCTCGAGCGCTGACAAGGGATCGCAGCGGCGTCTACCCATCGTGTAGTGTGTTGTGTCATCACCAAGAGGTACTGATTCCCACCGGATGTCTGCAGAAACGGACCCATCACAGCTACGGACCACAAGTCACCGACTGCCATAACTGGAATCGACCGTAGAGGTGGTCGTAAGTACCGATCACCTGCTTTCATCAACTGATACTACAGACATCCAAGTACATATATTTCCACATCTTCTCCCATACCTAGCCAGTAAATGCTTTGTCACAAGAGGTCGGTTGTTTTCGTTAGCTGGTGAGATTCTTGTATCACTTCACGGCGTAGAGACTGAGGTATTACCACCAACCAGCTTCCATCGTTCTCTTGCCAAGTCAGAGTTTTAAAGGCGGTTATATACTGCTGATAATTCTTGTCAATAGTACACGCCAAACTAGCACGTATAGATACACACGACCTTAATGAACTATTAAAAAAGTATTATTCAAACCTTCATTTTCTTTAATTCTCATTGCACTTAAATCTACTCATTTTCTTAAGAAATCATAGAATACACTAATGTCTAAGCTGAATCAAATAAAACAAAAAAGACTAATGGGAAGTATGCCCCCACCATCGGGGTTCGAACTCAGGACCACCCCGGTTACTAGGAAACCTCGTATACCATCCAGCCACTGGGACCCGATTCAATGACCAGTACATGAATTCCAACTTCTACCAATTTGTGAATTTTTAGCGAAACCACCAACCAATATCATCGGCGGGAAATCCATCCTCATTCCCGGCTGGATGGACCTCACTGGTCACGACTTCTCACTAGAACTCCAGGAAACTCAGTCCTGTAGCAAGTCAACAGCGAGCATCAAGAGTTGGTTTTTAAGGATTAGATTTATTTTTTCGAGTTTACGTGCTGACGATGATTTCCAAGCACTAGGATGAAACAGCTATCCAGTACTCCCTGGTTGGTTTTCAATGGTTCTCTAACTGACATCAATCCGTGGTCAAACTAGGAAAAAACAAACAAATCTAATCCTTACAAACCAACTCTTGAAAACACAGTAAGTGCTTAAGATAGGAAAATGTTTTATTATTTATTACACACGCACGCATAGTCATCTTACCCATAATTGCATTGTTGCCAACTATGGGGAATGATGATAGCGCATTATTATTTGTAGTCTGAAATAAACTGCCTCGACGTCTATTTGTAAGGCGTATTTCTCCACGATAAAAATATGGACAAATCGATTGGCCAGCACAAGCAGGACATTTCTTCACCTCTAACATATCAGCATCCAATTTCATGCTTTCAGAGAGAAATACACGTGAAATAAGCAGATAGATAGCAGGTATTAGAAGTATTAAAATGATGATAGCAATTGTAAGCTTGAAAAGACTCTTGAAAATTGGCGGTTGTTCATCAACACGGTCGGCCGCCAGTTTTCGACTATTAACCGTTGTCGTCTAAAAAACAAAACACGATAGAAAAAAAGAGGAAGAAATACGTTATGATTTTTCTATTCATGATGTATGATAACTATTATACAGAATAAAAACAAGTATAAACTAAGATTGAACTGTAGGCTCAGGTTGCCTGTCTGGCCTACCTGAATTCCAATCATCAGGCTTAATATGCATCTACTTTTCTTTGTTATTTGTTGTTATTGTTGTTTTAATCTTCCACTTATGCCTTTGGATAGCAACAGGAACTCAGGCAAATTTTTAAAATGGCTTTCAACCTACCGGGTGTGCACTTCAAGTAGGAAATCAAGGTGAAATATCGTAGGGGAACCTAGTCTTGTTTCCTCACTATTGACAGTGGAAGACATGAAAAGCCTAGCTAGCTGTCTTTGATCATAAGTGTCTGCGTTCTATCTCCCGTATGAAGTGGTGTAGTAGAGTGAGCAATATTGAGGTTAGGCCATCGGTCGAGTGCTAGGTAAGGAGGCTGTGAAGTTACATCGATTGAGAGAGATGGTTAGGACATGGCCTTTACTCGACAACGGGCAATGTTAGCTGACTTGGGATCGATGAGGTTGGAAAAGAGTTAGCTAGGGGTGAATCAAAGCAAAACTTAGCTTCATGAGTCAGTGAAACCTAAAATAGTTAGTTTAAGCTGGCCAGCCAGTCGTGTAGGAAGGTGTAGACTGCCCTCCGGGTTGGGGTCCTTATAATTCTAAGAACCAATGACGGCGGCTGGAAACAATTGGTGATATGGCTCAAAATAGTCCTCAATGGCTGTCTGTTTTCGACATAGAACTTTGTACATATGTGCGGCAGTTCAAGTCGCCACACCCCCTCCATGTAGCACACAAAGCAAGAGAAGAAAGTAGGAGAAATGCATATTAGAGACAGTAAACAGAGGTGTGAGACAAAGGAATAGTAATAACGAAGAACAACATAGTTTCATTGGAAATCATAAGTCACAAGGATTGGACGCCGGTAAGAATGCCTGTGTTCTAGAATCTGTCGAAGGGTGAAGATATGATCAATACACCCTCTTCCTGGTCTAAAACCTGCCTGGTTCTCTTGTGTTTGTGCCTCCCGAGCACCACTTAGTCTACGCAATATTATTGAGCCTAGGACTTTAGATACTATATTAGTCAAGCTTTTCCCTCTGTGATTATCACAGGAAGACTTGTCTCCCTTCCTGTATATCGGGATGATCAGTGACTTACACCAACCCGATGGGACTTCCTCTGATTCCCAGACGCTGCCTAGAACCTCAGTTAATGCAGACAGTAAACTGTATCCACCGTACTTTTAAATACCTCTGGAGTCATTCCATCAGGTTCCGCTGCTTTGCCTTGCTTCAGATTAGTGACAGCTTTAGTAACCGCAGTTAAGGACGGAGGACCTGTGTCTATATCCCATTCAGGGAGGTGTTGGATGTCCGGCAGGTTAAGTGTGGCTGTGGGCCAATTAAACTGCTCCTCATAGTGTTCTTTCCAGCGTACCAGTCGTCTATCCTGGGAGCTAATTATGGTGCCATCTTTCTCCGAGATTGTTTCACTTATCATTTGCCTTTTGCCACCTGTTTCCCTGATAAGCCTGAATAGTTGTCTGGTGTTGCCAATCGCCGATGCCTTTTCCATCTCTTTTGCTTTTGCCGCCCACCACTGTTCATGGTCGTTGCGAAGACTTTTTGTTAGTTTTCGTTTAAGTACCTTTCGTTCCTCACCATAATCGGAGCTCGCTGGAATCAGTATTCTTGCGTCAATCAGTTCGGATGAGGCAGTCAATGGATAGCGCAGATGAATCCATTCCTTGTGATTTATCATACCCAATAAAACTATATTGTTCTTCCATATGACTATTCTTGTTGCCTCATATCTCTGTTTAAGGTCTCTGTTTTGAATCTCTTTTTACTTTCTTCTCTTGCTGTGTGCTGAGTGAAGTGTGGCGACTCGAATTGTTGCACATAAGTGCAAAGTTCTATGTTGAAACCAATCAGTCGGTCAGTCAGTCAGTACGATGTACTGTTGGTGAATATCTACAGGGAGTAAATATTTTGCTACAAATTACTCTGAGAATTCTCTACTGTGTATTGTAAACCCGACCGATAACTGCTACCTTGCCGTGGTGGTCGGGCTTGAATTCCGCAATGACCCAACAAGCTAAACTGGCTGGGACTCATGTCCCTGCAGGTCCTACCATGTCAGGAATGTTGTTTGGATAGCGGTTAGACTAAAAGCAGTTACCATAGGGTACATGGGCTCCAGAATTCAATCGGATCAAATGGCGTATGAACCCATATGGGTCACCGGCAACCATGGGAACGCAGCTCCGCTGCCTTGCGGATTAGACTCCAAGTCAAAGGCTCGGGGGGTGGTCCCTTAGGAAAACCACCTGCTTCGGTCTGGGCACCCGGGCAGTATCTCAGACCTCACACAATATTGTGTGGCGCATCTTTCTTGGTGCCATATTGTACCAAGTTTTTCTGCGTTTAAATAAATAATAATAAAACAAAAATTGTAAACACACTTTCTAGAATACAGCTGATATTATTTTTATTATTATTAGGAGCGGTAGTATTAGTATTCTGATTACTCAACAAATATTATTAAACAAATACTCTCATGAAGACGTGATTCATTTGACTTAGGTATTCGACTTTCAATCAGTAGTCCAAGTGTTTCCACAGTCTGAGCAATTGGAAATAATTATCAGTACTAACATAATACATACGCCTAGTAGCTTGGTACACGAAAAGACACTTTTTCCGGGTAACTGAGTTTCAACATAGGACTTTTCACACCATCCAAATTGCCATGCCTCACATGTAGCACGCAAACACATAGACAAACGAGACAAAAAAGAGATTCAATGGAACTAGGATGAGCAGAAATGTTGGGGGGGAAGGGGGGGGCGAAGATGATAAGATGGTAAACAAGCCGGTTTAGTAAAGACGGCAGATCACAAAACGTGAATGCTGAATAATTTTCAGTCATATCATCAATAGTCTCAGGTCATCAGTTCTTCGTATCCGAAGGACCCCCAGTTAGGTAGCCCACATCTCTCTACGTGGTTGCTAGCTAGTACCAACTGTCAACGACTTCATGAACTGATTCCAGGTTTTGTTTTAACTATCTCTAAACCTTTTAATGGGACACTAGTGTAACTAGTGTGATGTATCTAGTCCTTTCTTTGGTGCAGACTGAATTCTATCAGTCAGGTTTGCAATGTGGCCACCATTCTAGGTAGCTGGCTATCACGGTGCACATTGATTTGATGATATTAGATAGTTGGAGGCGATCGGCAGGACTCTTTGCTTGATCTAAGTTTTGTGCTAGTTGCCACTCACCAGTCAGAAAGACATATCTTCAATCTTCAAGGAACTCATGTCCTTTCTGAGATTCTAACCCGCGTTACCCAGTGAATGCTGCAGTCACACACATTACCACTGAGCTATTCGGGCTCGAGATTGACCTCCTGTAGGACTGTAGTGGGTATTTGGATTGGACACTAGTAACTAGTGTGACATGTCTAGTCCTTTTCCAATCTAATGTAATGTCAACTAACACTGCCCGTCGATGGCTGAGCATGGGCATCACGTGTCCTAGCCACCTCAATCGACGTAACCTCACACACTTATCCATTGACTCACCCTTCTTACGTAACACTCTACGTCTAACCTTAATATTATTCGACGTATCGTATCACTTAACAAGGGGGGACAACACAATACAGACATCTGTTGTCAAAGACAGACAACTTTCTCATATTTTCCAATTTCAATGGCCATAGCTCACAGCCATAAAAGGAGAACACGACCAACTGCTACAAAGTACACGCGTCATTCGACCGATGATGGCCAGATATCAAGTCTACGCCGAAGGTGATGTAGATTGGCAAATCCCAAAACCAACCTTTTGTATCCATGCTGAGATTTCGTCATCAATCAATGAGTCCCTATCACTTTCACTACCTATCTTAAAGCTAGGAGTTAGCACAGTTAGTTCAAATATGCCTTCTCAGTGCTCCCTTCTGAGTTCAAACAACAACAAAAAAAATGAAATCTGAAACTAACCTTTGGTATGAACGGAACTCGTTGGTTTACTTCCATTTTCACCTACACCTAAAAAATAATTAAAGATTATTAAGTCACTGCAGGTCTTACAAAAAAAAACAATAATTAAACAAAATCTAGTAATCAAAATGGACAGTTAATGAGTGATCAAGGACTCTAGTTCGAATGATAGAACATTGCATGCACACACTTTAGTCAGATATTTAACACAAATGCATCATTACAAAAACAAGGGGTGATTCTTACCCATCACTACTGAAATAGTAGGAAACAAAACATTAGTTGAAATCACTAGGACTAGTGAGTGATTAGATAAATCACATTACAAAAATATGAAGCCCACAAGAATTAGTCAACTAACTAACTGATAATCTAGCGACAACCTTCTCCTGCTATTGTAAATAAGACCAAAAATGAACAGTAGTCATGACAACCAATCCCAACTGAGCAGAACAATGAGCCCATCTCAAATAAATTGTGATGCAAGTTGAGTTTCCATAATTCTACTCTCAAATTAATCACCTGAGTTTTCAGATTCACACAGTCAAAACCTTTTTGACGCATATTTTACAAATAAAGGATGTATTAATATCCATGTGTATACCAGCTATTATTGCATCAGTAATGTGTGAAGCGCATTACTAAATAATTAAGTAAATAAAATCAGTTCATAACTCAGCAACATGATTTCTCGTAGAACAACAAGCTTCGACTTTAACAAGTGTGCACAGTTTCACTCTCCAGTCACAAAGATATGCGTGCATAAGTAGCACAATTACAGGAGATATGGAAGAAGCTTTAGAGACAACTAACATATGTCATGAGGTCAGCTTTATGAATTCGTTGACGACTATTAAACAAAAAGGTATTTTGTCTGCCCATTAGAATCTACGGAGTGACACTGTCCGTGAAAAGAAAAGTTTCGGCGGGAAAATAGCTCAAACCTTGCGACTACACACTCACTTATCACAAGTAAATTCAAATACATAACTATATACTACTCACTAACTGAAATTAGTAGCTGCGCGCACCACTCCCACATCAACCATCAGTGGTGGTTTGAACTGACCCAAACAGGACATACCATTGACTACAGCCTCGGTCTCAAGCGAGAGTAACGGACATCCGGTGTTCAGGTCGCTTTGATCTGGCTAGCTGACAAGCACTACTGGTTGATGCGAGTGGCATACAACCAATCATCGCAGTTAGTCAGCGGTACATTACTTTATCCTCGGTTTCTTGATTACCGATCATGGTATCAAGCAGATCACAGTTTGCAATCTGAATAATTCCTGCTTCGAAAGGGAACTATCGTGAAACTTTACCTCCAGCTGTGTAAATTGCAAATTAGTCTGAGAATTTAACAAATTCAAATATGTTGGAGAGTGGCAGTGTTCTCCAAACTGATTTATCTAACGAAGACCTCTGAGTTTGAAGAATAATTTTATTAAGATAACCTCAAAAGAGCAGAAAGTATCATGATTGCGCTAAGGCGCTTAATGTAGTCTGTAATTATTAATACCGGAATAAATAAAATTGTTTCTTCCTCATCTGTGTAGAATGAACATATACAGAGCGTTACTAACTTCCTTCGACACTCAAGATGTTTACATCCCTGACTGGTTCTATTAATGCAAGTAACTTTAAAATCATGCTAAAAATTACTTCGTTTAAGTCAATTTCTGCATTTTTTTTTCTGTCAGTTGACTTGAACCGAAATTTTCGGCTTCTATTCACACATGTCAGTTTCCTAGGGTGGTAAGAGCTGACTGCAAGTCAAAAATTGTAGACAACAATTTACATCAATGTTCACCGTCCCGAATCATGGTCATCAGAAAAACAACAAAAAGGCTTAAACCTTGAAAAAATCACCAGCGAATCACAGCGGAGTTAAAGTGTGGAAATATGATTCGCAGATATATGGCTTAGCTTTCTAAGAAACGGTCATAAGCAGTACAGAATAACCTTCAGCAAGAAAACAACCAATCAGAAGAGGTTACTTCTCCGCCTGCAATAACGCTAATAATAATGTACATGAAAATCTATAAATACTTCTTGATTTTCTCAATAAACAATCTGTTGCCTGACCCTTGTCTTCTGTCGTTACATTAGTACATATGCGGCGACAATGTCTGAGGATTAACACTGATATTAGTTTTTGTATATCCCTTACGCAATTGAAGTGGAGACTATCAGGTTTCGAGTCTCAGTGGAAACATCATCCACCCATTGTCACTGGGGATTGCAGGCAGGTGTACATCTACCGGCTGACGAGTCCCCCCCACCCCCAGATAGGATGAAATGCGCCTCATGCCATTCCAGAGCCAAAAATTACTAAATCACTCTAGGCAAATAAATCAAGCAAGCGGTTGGCAAGATACACAGATGAGTTTATGCAAGTGTCATCGTTCACATATACACATACACACACACACACACACTCTAAAGACTCAGCAGGAAGGCGAACAAGTAAAAAGACAACAATGTTTTTTTTTCGTTATATATATCAGTTTATTAATAACACAATGATCGATAATAATAGAACAGGTTAATACAATATTAGTGATAATAAACTTCATTTAACTTATTATTTTTAGGAACAATACAAAAAGAAACAAGAAGTTAAAAACAGATTTGTTAAATATTTCAATGTATACATATATGCGAGAGAAATAAATCTTCAATATGTATCAATATTTATAATGTACACGCGCGCAACCATAAATCCGCGCGAGTGTACACATCATAATGGAAACATTTACAAACAGACAAACACACACACGCAGGCACGCACGCACGCACGCACATACATACATACACACACATAAAAAGGGAGGGATAAAAAGCTTGACGAAAAATGCCTCAAACAGCAAAAATACAGAAGAAAACCAAACGAACAAGCAAACAAATTGTGTTTACGAGTGTTTATGTGGGTGTGCGTGTGTGTTGGTCGGTTACTACAAAACAAGAGGTATAAAGATGGGGCACAGGAATTCAAGAAATGCATTGTTTGTTGTTTGTCTTATTAATAATAATAATGATAAAAAATATTTTTTTAAATGTACAATAATTCATAAACTCATAATTTATCCTTATGCATATACCATATTATATGAGATGGTTTCCAGGATATAAAATAAGAGGGAGAGAGAGACAGAGAGAAAGAGAGAGGGGGGGATAAACATTAAAGACACATAAAAAACACTTTGACGGGATTTAAAACAAATATTTCTTCGGGAAAAAAAACAAAACAAAACAAAACAAAAGATCTAGGCATAGGATGATGAATAAAGAACACATGACAATGACACAGTGCCCACCACCAGTAGTACTAGTAGTTGTAGTAGTGGGAGTAATGTGAGAATAGGATACAATTTTAACTTGCATATATCATCGGTGAGAAGAAATACAATAACATAGCTGCCGGGATATAAAACAACAATAATAATAGTAATAATAACGGTAATAAAATAGTAAACGATGAACTGGGTCAGCAGTGCTAATGATGATGACAATGATAACGATGATGATGACGGTGGTGATGACGACGTGATAGCACATAACACACACACGCACATACGTGTGGGTAGGTAGGTACACATTTTCATCACTACAATAATGATCATAATCCAGTATACAGTAATGAGTGAGTGAACGAGTGAATCAAGATTGTGCCAAGAACTGAAAAGGAATAGAAATAGAAATGAAATTACTACACATCTATATATGCATACCGATAAAATAAAATTACGTGTCACTTCTTACGATATCTTCTGACTAACATACACACACACAGTCAACGTCTTGCTTTATCTATTCAAGTTTATCAAGCCTATTTAACTCAATCTCAACGACAACAACAACAACAACTAAGTAGGGTTGGGAAAATATTTTCTGGGTGTTAATTTGTAGGGATTTTATTATAGTTTCAAGTTTGATTATATACAAACTGACAACATAGTCAGAGAAGCCTTGAAAACCGCGTTTGATCCACCAGGTCGAGTGTGAGGAGCAACAAGTACTCAGCGATGACATGGGTAATTGGATCGAGTGTCAATAGCTGAATAGCCAGCCAGTTAGTCAGAGAGGTTGCCTCGTAACCTGAAGGTTCTGGGTTCGATCCTATAGGCGTGCACAGTGCTAAAGAGTACTTTTGTGTACTCCATGCCGGTTTTTAATGGTTCTCTAAAGAATATCAATCCGTGATCAGGCTTGAAATATTATTTCTAGGGTCATGTATGTGTCAGTTTTGCCAACTTTTCGTGCAAATCTAAAAAAGCCCACTTTTCACAGTGATGGGGAAAAGAATGACATATGAACGTGTTTCTATTAGAATGAGAATACCGGAATCGTGGCTAAATGGCTTAAGTATTTGGCTTTCAGTTAAGCAGCCCCACGGTTCGAAAACCGCTGCTCCTACTTCACTTGAGTAGTATTATCAGTCTTCCCACAAGAAGGGTGGCTTATAGCCTGGTACATGAAAGGCACGTACCAACCAGGTAACAATCTCCAAAAGTATTTTGACACCACAAAAGCCTATAAAAAAAATGTCCCATCGAGACAAAAAATTGCGATGTTCAACCAGAAAAAGAAAGAAAACAATATGAGATATAGCATTTCGAATTCCACTCATCACTGACAAGTGGTATTCCCATCCCATTACGTCACGGTATTAACAAACAATGCCTGCGAATGTTGATGAATTATTTTACATCCTGAAAAGCACGCTAAACTGTAGAAGTGTATACCTAATGTTAAGAAAAGCGTTTTGTCTCCTATTTACAAGTTACCAATACAATCAAAACGTATGCACAAAAAGAATGAAGTTAACAATGATTTATAGACTTTATTAGCATGAGACCTTAATGTCTAGTTCCATAGTCTATGTGTAGATTACCTATGTGGTTTGTCTACGATATGTGAACCACCAGTTCTCCGGGGTTTAAACTCCAATAAAGCTGCTTCGGTCTGAGGAATGATTCACTAGCTTAATAAGCCTACATGAATTGTGTCGCATAACCTGTACGTGATTGCAGAGCTTCACTGATTCATATATAGGAAGACAGATATTATTATTGTCCCCTTGGGTTCTGAGTGGAACACAGGGCTTTACAACAGCACACCTCCACTTAGTTCCATTCTCTGTGATCCTTTTCACCAGCAGGCTCCGTGAATGCCCATAGTCGCTTATCTCCTTCCTCGTACGATCTCCGTCATTTGAATTAAAAGTTATTATGGTAACTCTCTCTCGCTCGCTCAAGCAAAAACCTTGAAGTTGACTGGAAGAACAACAAATTATTACAGCACAAATAAACCAACTCTCTGGCAATATACATATAAAATAATAATAGTAATTACATAACGAAAACTGAATAAGGGAAAAAACTACGGTCGGAGTGATTGATGCCCATAAAGGCAAATGAGAATCTCTTCTTTGCAAAGCGCAAAAACGCAGAGATTATCACAGAGAAAAGTCTTACCTCCTTGACAGTGGAATTGATAAATTCTTTCCGATCAGATAGATCAACATTAGGATAATTTGCGAAAACCTAAGGTGGGAAAAAATAAGAAAAAAAATGCGTGCATTAAGATAAATTTTAAGAGAAAGAAAAGTGAAAACTACGCTACACTACAACACAAAAATGCAGAAAGCTTAAAATGTTAACAAAACAGGTAGTGAACAGAAAGATACTTTAGTCTGATGTTATTATTCAAGAGACTAAAATAATTCAGATATCTACAGATAAAAGAGAGAAAAAACACTCAAACCCTGAAGAACTTAGGGATTGATCGACCGTCCGACTGACTGGTTTCAGTATAGAACTTTGCACAGAAATGCAGCACTTCGGGTCGCCGCATTTCATATAGCAAACAAAGGAAGACATATCGGAGAGGAAAAGAGATTTGAAAGAACGATAGTAAGCAGAAATGTGGGCGAGAAGGAGTAACAACAAGAGAGATCACAAAGAGGGAATGCATCTGCACTGTCATTGAGAGTGATATCGAGCCATATCATTAATTGTCTTCAGTTATTGGTCCTTAGCATCCCGAGGACCCCAACCAAGAAGTCAACACCCTCGTACGTGGCTCAAACTAACTGTTATGGACTGATTCTGAGTCTTGGTTTGACTACCATTAGCTCTTCACCAACCTGATCAACCCTAAATCAGCTAACACTGCCAGTTCTCAAGGCAGGCGATCGATAGCTAGGCATGCGTAACACATGTCCTAACCATCTCTCTCAATCGATGTTACTTCACAGCCCTATCTATCGATTTCCCCTCCTTACGTAGCACTCGACCGAAGCCTAACCTCAATATTACTCACCCTACTATACCACCTAAAATAGGAGATAGAATGTTGACACCTACGATCAAAGACAGTTAGCCTTTCCATGTTGTTCGCTTTCAACGGCCATGTCTCACATCCATAAAAAGAAGGATGTGGCGAACTGCTATGCAGTACACATGTTCTTCGTTTGATAGTCGGATTTCACATCTACGCCAGAGATGGCGCAATTTGGCATATGCACACAAGCCTTTTGCATTCGCGCTGAGATTACGTCAGTGATCAGCCCATAGAGGCTGATGCAGCTTCCTAAATAAGTGAAGTGGTTAACACACACAACCACTTCACTTCCTATATCCAAGCTACGAGTGGCTGTAGTCTAGTCCTGTACTATCATTTTTCATTTAATTAGAGAGAATCGCATCCTAAACATTCTAAGACTGATGTCCAAGATGATCAGAAGGCTCTGCATTTTATCAGCGCCTTCACTTAAATGGATTATATCATCCGCATAATGTACGTCAACAAGACTATTCCATGGTAACAGCTCAATCCCTAAGCCACTGAAACCAGTTAGGGTAAATCCAATTAGTATATCTGTAATGAAATTACACAAAAATGGGGACAGGCGGCATCCCCTACTTGTTGTCATCACTTCAGATGACAACTTCCCATCAGCTATTACAAGGTTGTATGAATTCGAGTAAAGTGACTGGATTAGAACGATGTGTTTTTTTCGGTACTCCGTTCAAGGCTAAACACTGAAATAGTACCTCTCGGTCGACGAAGTTGAATTATGGCCTCAGGTATGACAATTATTGGACGCTGTTAAGTATGCCTGTTCTTCAGAATCTGTCAAAGCGTGGAGGTATGATCAATACACCCTTTTCCTAGTCTAGAGACTCCTGGATTGAGTTCAAAACAGGCTGTAGCTGTGGTCACCAATAATTTCAAATTATCTAGCACTGGAAAGTAATATGGATGAGAGACCTGAAAGTTGTGCATACGCTTACGCATACAAAGAAAAGAGGACGATCCGATTGATATGAATTACTCATCATAATAAAAATTGACCAAAGACGTATTGAACCTTCAGTGTGTCAAGATAAAAAAAACTACGTTCTAACCACCTAACACGCAAGATAATATGTAAGTCATGGAGCTCCAGTCTGATTTTTCAGCTTTGTAGAGAATTTCTATCATCCACTGACCAAAGGAAATATAAATCTTAAGCCCCTAGGATAAATGGGTGGTGTTATACATGTCAAAATGATAGGCTAAGAGACATGGCCATATTATATAAAGTCACTGACTGCTGGTGTGTGTGGGGTGTACAGAAAACACTAAGGTTGTTTTGATGAGATACACGCTAAAAAAACAGAACTGATGTTAAAATAATAGGTTTCCTGGATCGACTGTGGCGGGCTAAGTGTACATTTACACTTTTGTATTGTGCAATATTAAATTAATGCCCAGTCTCTGCAAAGCAGCCAGAAATCCCTGGAAACCACAAGAATTGACCATCGTATTCAGAATACCTCAAAAATTAACATATCAGACTGACTAAAAATATGAAAGTAATACACAAAACTCTGCCACAATGACTTGAATATAATTAAAGTCAATATAAATAAATACTAACCGCAGTATTTCTGCATACATATGATGTCGTAAGATAAGTCCCGTAATTCTGGCGTTTTGACGAGACAAGTGTTTATTTAAGGAGTGGTTATGATAAGTTACTGCCTCACTATCTATACACAAAACATTTGTCTCCCAAAACTATCTAGTTAATCAGCAACTAGTTTTAGCAACCTATGTTGTTGTGGATTGCAGCCAGGTCTGTCTGTTTAACGCTCTAACAATGTAACACTAGGTTATGAATCTAAAAGGCCCTTCAGCACGAGGATTCAAGTAGCGTCAAACAAATGACAACGTAAAACTGGTTACGACTGCTCGTTATTTTTATATTAGTCAACACCGAGAATCCCATACATAAAACACAAGTGATAGTATCAGAAGCAATAGAATGCCATAAAGCAAAGCTTATGACACAAAATATTAAGAGACTGTACATATATTGCAATTTGATGGTAGGATTACCTAGTAGTCTTCAATTGGCAGATGTAATTAAGTGATAACTGGAGACGGAATGAGAACCTAGGTTGCAGCAGAATATGGACTAGTGGTCTCCGAATTATTTATCCCATCGCCCTACAACTTAAAGGAAACTATGGCAAGAATGTATCTGTGCCACCAAGGCGTATTTTGAACCATACCACCTGTAGCTTCCTGCTATTGTCAACAATTACCCCAAGAAATAAACAAAGTTCTAGTGTCTCTGTGCGTCGGTGGTATAGCGGTTGGGACGCTCGTCGACCATGCACATGGTCCGGGGTTCGATCCCCGGCCATGGACGCACTCCTTTACCTCGCTGAGCCAGAAATAATGCTGGTAAAGAGGAAAGGTTGGGCGTGAGGCTAGCAACCCCATCCTGTAAAATAAACACTGCTACAGAAACTTCAAGCCTCTAGCTTGAAGTCCTATGTTCCACTGGGGAACGTGAAGTAAAAAAAATCTAGTGTCTCTATACACTGCTCAGGTCAGTCAAGTGGTAAGACACTTCAAGATCCCTCTTAGCGTCCCTTCAGTCTAATTCAATCTCTCTCATCTAATGTTTTGGGTTGATAATGCATCACAACACTGTAAGTTATCCCCAGTGCCTTCTACTCTTATTGAGTAATAGTCCTGCATAATCTAATAATCCATGTCAACGGAGTAGTATGCAAGTGGTGCTACATACTACACACACCAACCAGCCAAATTGCAAAGAGAAATCCTAAATATTCATTTCAGATTTTAAACATCGCCAAGTTCCGACTTACTGGTATAGAAACTTAACTTTCAGTCACTGGGTCATGGACTCAGAACTCTTATCAAATAGAAAGGTTTGTGCAACCACTTACTGCTATTTTCTCGCGAATGTGTGTAACTTGCTAATTAGATAGATAAGCATATGGTTTCAATCACTACAAGTGAATAGCAATGATCTAAAATACTTTGATGAATTAAAGATCCCACTCAAAACAAGATTATATGCAGTACAACAAAAAGTACTATGTATAAATAACTGGATAGTTCCCTGTTTTTAGAGGTATTTATAACACAGAAGTCCCCTGTAGGTCTCCATACTATGCTGAGATAAACAATAAACGCGCAGAAATAACAAACCCCTTAGTTATGCACCCAATTATAGAGTTATGCGTTAACGAATAACACAATTTCGACGTTTACTGTTTGACTGACAAACTGGTTTATAACAGACATAACAACACTACATAAACATGGAAACGACAGTTAAGCAAATAATGAAACAAACGTAGAACACAAGGCATATAGCTTCACATTTACCTTTTCTCGAACAACTTTCAGTGAAGTCTCCTCCAAATTTACCGTTTGAAGCAAATTGATTATATGCTTTTTCAATTCATCATCAGTTGGAGGAGCTGCTTTTGAAGATGTTAACTTGGATAGAGGTGCATCTTCTTCTTCGTCAGAATCCAGTTTATTCTTCTTTGAATCAACTTTTGGTACCTTGGAGGGGGGGACAGATTCATCATTATCATCATCACCATCATCACCATGATTTTCACCATCTTCTGAATCATTCAAAGCATTCTTTTTCGTGCGTTTAGCATTCGATTTTGGAGTTTTTTGTTGTTGAACCACCTTTTTAGTGCGCTTTTGTGTCGTCTTCTTTTTCTTCTTAACAGATTCAGCTTCACTAGATATATCACTTTCTGATTCACTCGATTCAGAAGATATACTAGGCTCATCAACATCTTGTTGACTTGAATTGTCTACACTAGGTTCACTTGTTGTAGCGTTCTTTTTTGGTGACTTTGATTTTCGCTTTTTAGGAGTAGTACCATCTCCCTTGGATGTACTTTTTCGACCTTGCTTTTTGACAATTTTTCCTTTAAACTTTACGGAAGCAGCAGAAGGTTTATGCAAAAATTCTAATAAACGAGAAGCTAGCTGTTCTCGAGTCCCAGTGACTTCTAAATTTAGAATACGCAATGACTCCCGTAAATCAGATAACTGACGTCTGGTAGGTAAAAAAAGGGGAAAAACAACAAAACAATGTTAAGACCTTGCTATCTCGAGATATATGGGCGAATAGATGACCGAAATACGCCTCTCTCACCCACCCACCCCCCAACCAAAAAATGCAATGAACCGATGCAAAAGGTTAAGAGCTTAGAAATCTGAAACTTAAATAAACATGAAGAGTCAAATGTATGATATGAACGATTATCTTAGGAAACGGATTACTACTCTGTTAATCCTTTACTAAAAACAATTTGCATTGACACTTTCCACAGCTGGTTGTTTTTCAAACAACGAGAGCTTCTCTGAGTAAAAAATGAGAAAGTGAATTTGGATTTGAGAAGAGACCATTGGTAGTCAGTCGCTTGTATTGGGTAATAGTCAGTTGCAACTAAAACAATAACTCACACAACTACATTACCTAGTAGAAATGTTGAAACTCTAGAACACTTAGGTCACACTACAATCAAAATGAAGCCAAGGGAAAAATCCAACAAGGGTATGTAGATATTTGATTTAGAGCTTCTACCTCATTTCCAAGCACTTCTGGTTACAAGATTATAGCTATAGTTTCCCATAACCTTTATTTTCAACTACCCATCAAAGGGTCTATGCACAGAACGCTGGTGCGCTCGACTCTCCAGGACTTAAACGTCATCGGTGAAAAATTAAGATGTAAAAGGATTAGAGATCTTTGATTACAGACATCTTCGGTCCATTAGGTGTGTTAAGTGCAATAACATGATCAGTAATAGTAAAATTAGACATAGTCCTTGAGTCGATCGAAGAAACTATGAAGTTTCATTGATTCAGGTGATTAGGATATGCAGTACAAGGTGCTGGGCAACTTTTGTCTTCTACGAGCAATGTTAGATTAAGTAGAATAAACTTGGAAGTGAATCACAGACAGTCAGATCACAATATGGCATCAATCTATGGCCTAAATGTATTCACTCTCTATACAATTCCAGATTCTAAGAGGCTTTGCCAATCTCCATTGGATCATTTTCTCCATCATATTCACCTTATTCTATTACATTATTACTATATGTTTATTCCCTTATTTTGTGTTTTCCAGTAAGGAAAATGGATATGATGTACTTCTGTGACTGGTCAGTTGATCATTATCTAAACAGGCAATAAGTACTGTCTGTACATGTTTGCTAAGGCAATCTAATCCAAAATACACAGAACTAATATCAAATGCAAACCTACTGATGAATATATGCCGACTTTTTCTCATACTGTTCAGAGCCTGGCTGGAATCCAAAACCTCGAAATCTACGTAAATTGCTGCGTATTTCATTTACACTTCCAGGTCTTCCGTATATTACCAAATGCAACAATTTAAGATCAGCTGGTTTCACTTTTCGAATAGTAGCATCGATAAGTGGGATTTCACCAAGAGCTGTTCCGGTGGCCCCTTCAAATGCTGCAGTAACTGCTTGTACTGCTTTTGCTCGTTCTTCTTCTTTCTCTACATGGGCGCGATTCCATGTTTCCGATAAACGCTGAACTTTTTTACGCTGTCTTTTCTCACTGGTATCAACTCCATGTCCATTTACTGACTCGTTCAGCTTAACCTCCGCCTCAGAGACAGAAAGATTATCTTCAGCTGAAATAAAAATAACATTTAACACAATAACGGAGAGAATAAACAGAATTAGATATCCATACCAATCCACATAATGCTGTAAAACAGTAAGGCTAATAGTTCAGAAAACTGTTCATTATTCACTAATGCGTAAGGTATCTGTTCTCTTTCAGAACAACAATGGGAACTCAGTAGCTGGAAGTATGAGAATTTTCCCATTGACACAAAAGTTCAGATTACACGCACAAAGTTGTAGATAATTAAATGGGAGAACAAGAAGTTTAACTCTAAAGTGCAAATTTTAAGCACACTTAAGAAAAAACTATAAATCCTCAGGAGATACACACAAATTAATTATTGGATTAGCGATAAGATCGGAAGCCAGTCATAATGCAGATGAATTCGACTCATTCTTTAAGGCTTTTTTTAGATCTTAACAGAACTCTCATTTTTATTTTTGGAAAATTCTATTTATTCATTCCTTGCGCTGCTTCACACTAGATATTATGCTAATATGCATGCCTCAGTCTTTCAGTTCCAAACTAGTAGCCAGCAGGTGCATGGGTTTGATGCATATTGGCGAAACAGCTCTTACTGAGAGTAAATATAGTAAAGTTAAATAACGCACGGACCGAATAAGAGCTACAATATGCACATTATTACCAGAAATCAAGGTCTATCCATTTAATATACCACCCATACAATAATATAAGTCAGAGGGGACTCAAAACACTACATGAATGGCATTCGCGACTAATGTTTAGTATGGCAACGGTTTTATGAGAAATCCAAGGTCACTCGCGATGTTCTAAGCTCTGGCTGTTAATTTTACTTTGCTAATTGAAGATTATGATAGGATGAGATCTGTTTCTGTAGACCTTATCACTCGTTTATAGGTCAAAGTGGTCACCACGGATACAACTGACTGACTGGTTTTAACGTAGAACTTTGCACAGACGACCAGCAGTTCGAGTCGCCACAATTCACTTAGCATACAAAGCAAGAGATTCAAAACACATATCAGGTAAAAAGAATAGTCCTGCAGCATCATCTTACATTTGGCGGGAGCGAATCGCCTACCAAATATTCGAATATTGCCGCTCAAGGTGTTCAGAAGACGCTGCATTATATCAGCATCCTCACCTGTATATTCTAAGTCAACGAGATTATTACCTCGTAACAAGTCAATCCCTGAGTGACTAAAGTCAGTTAGGGCTAACTCCATTAGTACATCCACGATGAAATTAAACAGAAGTGGGGATAGTAGGTATCCCTGACGGACACCAATATTTGTCACCACTTCAGATGACAACTCGCCGTAAGCTCTTACATAGCTGCACGAGTTCAGATACAACTGCTTTACCCAGATTTATGTGCGGTTCATCCTCTATTAACCAAACTAAAGACATTATAAACAACGAATAGTTTTCGTCGTTACACAACTGTGCAACCCGTCAAGGAGGTGGAAAAGTGAGTCTAAAATTGGATATATTAGGTCGATACGCTGAAAAACGGAAATAAAGGAGACATTAGCGTCGAATCGCCCTTCTTTATTTCTGTCCCAACAATTTCCCCGCTTGACTATTCATTCTCAACATTTCTAGATATGACATTCCCAAAGAAATACTGGAAAATGGAAAGACTTAAAAGGGTAGCTTTTTTGCACCTTTCAGTCATTATTAAGAAGGCTTTCCTGTCCCCTTCTCCCGGTCGAATTAGCTAGGGGAGCCATTATTGATTCTATTCTCAATGGCTCGCTATTCTTCAACTTTACTGTGCGGTATACCATAGTTGGCAATTAGAAACCACTTAAACATTTTAAATATCACAAATAGTCACATGCACACCGAAGAATTAAGTTACCGTCAGGCTTTTCTACATCACCATCAGTATTGACTTTCTCCTCACAGGAATTAACACTGTCCATAAGATCTGTGGACTCCATTCTGAGATAAATTCCAGTTACCCGCCTTATGAAAATTTAAAGACAAGGTCGAATGCAGATTTCAGTCTCGTGGTTAGACAACAATTATTCAACATAAAAATATTCAGGTTGAAGTAAGGTAAAGAAAATTCGTGGTTCAAAGCTTTTTCTGGTTCCCTATGGTCAGTGGATTTTTGAACTGCTGAAATCTAACTTGGCGGGCTCTTAAAAGAACCACAACAGTCTGGAAACTTTCAATTTAATTTCACAGTTTCATGAGGATGTATTTAATTGGCTGTCTGTGCACTCAGCCGCAACTTCTGCCTGTCACTCTGCTGCATTCAACATAGTAAGCATTTTCACCAATTAGGAAATTACCAGGAATTTTCTCATAAAAAATGCTTCTTGGTTCCATATGTGATACTTGGAATAAATAAGCAATCCATCCTTTTGAATGGCCTCATTTAATGGTTTTTTCACGATTCTGATTTTCGAAATTATCTGTTGGAATGTCATATTACTTTCTTCTCCTCAGGGAGTTAAACAGTCTAGCAGACGTAATGAGTTATCCTCACTTTGCTCACTGTGACAATTTGATTAATTCGGATCCGTTTAAGAAGCCACTGTTCAACGCTCAGTTCAGTGAACAATAGTATTCATTTCGTCACTACAGAGCGGATAAAACATAATTTTTAGACGTAAATTCTTAATTATACACCAATTAGTTTGCCGATTATTTCAATTATGCGATATATAAGGGGACTGTTTTAATAATTTCTAACAGTGGTGGTTCTGTGAAGAAATGCTTGAATAAGAAGATTAAGAGTCATGACTTACAATTTCTGGGGAAACCTAGTGACTTATGGAACGGGAGAATACGGTGGTGTTTGGGTAAGATGATGTAAACTTATGGAGAATTTCATGAACCTTACACTGAAACCACCACTTGCACATATTATCTGTATGGTGCTTTCCTTTATCTTCCTTTCGTATTTTATGCGTCGCGTGGCGAGGAACTTTCATTTCTCTTCATACTCGTCCATTTCATCCCTCCACTTCCCAATACTCCTACAGATTACAGCACACATATACTGGTTACAAAGCCCTCTCAGTAGAACATGCCACTGTGCAGCACTTTGTGGCAGTAGTATGTTTTCATATAAACAGACAAATTGACATAGGATGTAAGTCATTTTACAGGCGCTGACAAACATTACATAAACTCACATCGGATGCTGTCGAAAAATTAGTACTGTTTCGATAATTTAAATAGTTCACTTATAACATAAGCTATCAGGATAGGAATATGGAAGTGTTGAACTGAAAAGCCATCGCGAAGGTCGAGTGGACAACTTCAATTCTGTTTTGTTTTTTACAGATGATAGCAGTCAATTGATTATCAGTCGATATTCAGGTAGGTACTACATTCACGCGTGATTGAAAGCCGCTTCAGGGAGAAAAAGCGTTCTGAGGGGCACTAAAGAAGAACTGAAACAAGTAAGAGCAGGGCATCATGAGAAACACATTTGCAAGATATACAAGGGGCTTTATAGTCCTTAGAATAATGATGTACACCTGCAATGTATAATGCTAACCACATCGATCTTGCCATCGAAACTTTGCTGATTTCCGTGAAATAAAAGTTTCGCTCAAACGTGGTGCCGTCTTTTTGCACAACCAGACTTTAAGGAAGCAGAGAATATGGATGAATAAAGCCAATGGTAAGTTAACAAAGAGTTTGGATGGACAAAGTGTGTCAGAATATGCCAATAGAAGTGGAAGTCACTATAAAATATTTAAACGACAGTTAGTCAGAAGTGGGCTAAAATATCCGAAAAAGTAGATGTTGGCTTCTAAGATGACTCACGAAACTATGTATGTGAATGCTGAGGGCAATACGTATTGCACGTAACTAAGGTGGGCTTAGAAATAGCAACAATAAAATCAGACAGACATTATATTTCTCAGCTGAAGGGAACAAGTTAATATATGTATAAATTCCACAGACTTAATATGCATTGGATTCACTTGCAAAAGGAATATTATTAGGTAGCTGATCTCAAGAAGTATTGTGCGTCGGTGGCACAGTGGTTAGGACTCCCGCCGACCATGCACATGGTCCGAGGTTCGAGCCCCTGCCGGCGCACACCCGATATCTATGTCGGCCTGTGAAATTGGGCTACCGATATCCATGCTGAAAATGCCATACTTGTACTGAAAATACGGTGGGCATCAAGCTGTAACCAAAATAAAAAAATAAAAAAATTAAGTTTGAAGACTTAGTCTTTTTCAATTGGTTGTGACGGACGGAGAAGAGAGACAGTTGTGAAACATTTGATTTTCGCAGAAGAGTAACTGTAATAGATAAATCGGATGTTCTGCGATTCTTAGAATCTACCATGAAATGTGTGAACGATTAATCTATAAAATTTCGCCAATTCTGTGACTGCTCCCCCCTTCTTCACATAGTCGGTGTGCATTATATATGTGCCCAAGTTGAGGAATTTTTCACCAGAGGTAAGATCACTTAATCATCTTAAATGTATACATCCTTAGATATTTCAAAATGCGGCCGAAGGTAATCGAAGCAATATAATCCCAGTCTTTGCTTGAAAAGATCATGTCCAGTTTCTCTGAACGGATCTGGTGATGATGGAAACTACTACGACTGGTCCAACACCACTACCATCCGATACAAACTGATACAGATCTTGTGGATAAAGTGATTAGTAGACCTGACGATGAATATGACGCAGTTATAAAAAATCTACAACCGTGATTTTTTCACCGGATTGCTACAAACTCTTCTTAATGTAGATATGTAATTGTTCATAACAAATTATTTTTAACTTGATTGATTATTGTTTCGTTGTGAATACATGCATTTATGTCAATTACCTGCACCTCTTCTATTCATCATTTCGAAGACATTGAATAGTAAACCAGAATAATTGACAACGTTATAATGCTTATGTGAAATGCGTCAGTCTTTAACCGCTATTATTTCCGCAGTGCGTCATCAGGTCTTTCATGAAATGTTTCAGTTACGTTTAATCCGGTTGCGCATAATATTGTTAACCACCTATGTTAAGAAAATAGCCGTTGAACACAAGTTTGTAGTGGAATAACGGAATATAACTTAGCAAACGTAGGTTCTATACCTACACTACTTCTACTAGTAGCCTAGGCACTTCAAGTACACTATGAAACGTATATCCTATATGTCGCAAGTAATCTATCATCCTTATGTTGCGTTTAACACCACTGTGTCAAAAGAAATCACTGGGTAATAAAGAGATAACTACATCACTCTTCGTGTGTTATCACTTCGTATCAGTAGACTCTCATATGATCACATCAACACTTAGACTTATGCATTAGTTGATCACGTCACTCAACTGCATTGATCCTTTTGTCTTCATAAAATACTGCAACTTATTAGGTAGGCTGTTGTTGCGCATGTCGCCTGTTTACATTTTACCAGCGGAAGCAATTAGTGAAATACAATAATAGTGCCCCGTCATGCCCAAATTCAATCACAAGCACATATGACATCTTAGGTATATTACGTCTTCTAGACTGGCATCACTTTTCAACTCGAGAAACAGTATTATTAATGTATGAATGGAGTGAAAACTTTTAAAAAATATTTAATTCATTATACACATTCGAAATATCACAAATATTTCATCATCCACAGACGTATTATCCATCTTAATTTCATTAGAATGTCTTAATGTACTCAGTGACTGCTGAAGTGAAAACCATAATCTGGAAAATAAAAATGAAAAAGTTTCAGTTAATAAATGACAAGTTGAATAAGCAGCTCAAAACACAGTGCCCACCAATTTAATGTCTGCCTCTTCACCGTTTTCTCACAAATAAATCAGCTCAGTTTCCTCCTGACTGTGAAACTTTGTAATGAAATTATGGAAAACCAATTACCCCGATATTCAAAGCCCCTCCTCATCATTTAAGTAAAACATGTTCCAAAAATAGGAATTATTTGGTTTTTATTATCATAACTGGAATTTTTCAACGAACTCCCACATGTCAAATGCACCTCAGCATGTCAATTCAATGAAAAGATAGCATTTTGTTAACACACTGAAATCGACCATTTTTATCACTTTTTACACTTTTTTCGTTAAAATGCGGAATGAAATATGCATTTCTGCCGAAAAACACTGAAAACAATGCAGGATAGCCCAAACTCAGCAACATGTCAACACCTGATATCTGCAGCAATTAGCTGATTTGTACCTCTATCCTCTTAAAGATAATCGAAAGAAGCGGTAACTTCCACCCCTGAACTCTTTTTAGATAAAAAACTTTAGCGGACGGTCTGTCAAGGACTAGAGGATGGAATTCTTTGAGTTTCCACGTATCTCACCTTTGAACAGAAGCCATATATGCTGAACAACTTTCCGTGGCTCGCATCCTGAAATATGTGAGATAACCCTGCAGTCAGGAAAGAATAACCCAGTCTGTGAAGCATGTGTGGAACCCGCGAGAAAGCTCTGTCTGTTTAGCCTATGAGGCCTTTCGCTTGCACTTCTTGAAACACATTGAAGTTAGTTACTTGTCAAGTAAAAATTACATTATTTGCTCTGTGTGGTGATCCATCCTATTAGACTTATTTCTTAGTGACGTGATCCACTGTTCCCTCGACCTGGTTCGCCAAAATCTGATGACCAGGTCTCCCCTATACGCCTCCAGTATCCGAAGGAGAACATCACACTAATGTCTGTTCAAATATATACTCGAATGAAGGGGATACTGAAAGACATAGGAAAGCACTAAGCAAGCACAATGCTGTCTGTATGCCCTTTCCCCTCTCAAATCCGATTATGACCCCTATGGAAAAACTGTAAGGCCCAGCTGGGTGACTGGCGGCTGACGCTGTCTTAGGATGTGTCGAATTGCGCAATACGTGTTTCTAAGTAGGTTTAGACAATAAGTAGCAAAACGTCTAGAAATAAATATTCATAGAACCTCTTCCACGCACTAACAGCTTTATTCTGTAAGCCTGTATGATAGTGGACCCAGACTATAACGTCCAAGCCACAGGAGTTTAATTCCTTGAAACCCATGGGATCTGACTTTCCAAACCTCTATGGATTACCCAAAA